CAAGCAAATACTCTTGCTCACCAAAGCTCATCTGAATTCTGCAGGACGTATGAAGTCTTCCTCTAGACTCAAATACGTAGAAATTATTCGTCCAATGTTCAGATCCAATTCCAGTGGTCGTGGTTTGAAGTTGACATACAACACAGCACCTATCGAATACATGTATTGGGATGATCCAAACGAATTGGTAGATAGATTGAAGTTGCTCATTGCATCACAGCAAGCCGGAAATACATCAAACGATAACGAGATTGTTGCCATCTTGAACGAATTAGAAGAGGCAGGCATAATAAAACATGTGTGACATTTCTTTGATACTTCCGTGACACTTCCATGACAACTTCCGTGACAGTTCCGTGACACTTCCTTGACACTTCCGTGACACTTCCGTGACACTTCCTTGACAGTTCCGTGACACTTTCATGGCATGTCTATGAGTGAAGGGGCTAATAATTGGCGAGGCAAAGTGCCGACCATTATCGATAACGTACAATACTTTAGTCATTAGCATAATGAGTCTCGACAAATTCGGACGTGGTTCGTTTCCACGCTCAGCTCAGATGGTGACAGTCAGATCTGGATTTTCACATACTCCAACCGGTGATATTGATGTTGGTCATTTGAAGATGTGTAACGTAAAACTGCCAACAGATGTCGCTGATGTTGCAAACAAACAATATGTGGATGAAGTTATATCGCAAATTAAGTTAGATTTCAAGATTGCTTTCGATAATTACGGTGAAAAAATCCGAAATCACCTTGCTGGCTTCAGCAACGAAATAATCAAAGAAAGGAAGAGAGTGGATGTACATGATCTTAAACTGGCAACGTTCAATACAAACTTTGTTCAGTTGTCTGGCATAGTGCACAAGATCAACATACATGTGGAGCAGCTTCGCAACAACTCTCTACCAAAACTCAAAAGCGACATCGACTTGAATGTGAAAAATATTCTAGAACTTGTCGATAAGATTGACAACACTGTGAAGAGTTTGCACGATTTGAAGGCTGAGCAACAACACAGCCGTGATAAAGAACGCCAGCTTGCTGATGTCATTGATCAAATGAAAAAAGATCTGACCAAGATTGCCATCACTCCAAAATCTACGACAACACCACCGCCACCAAAAAGGAAGCCCCCTGTGTGAAACCCATCATATAAACTCCTAATCCAACGAAGTCAATATGTCACATTCTAAAGAAAAAATCCAACTCGTCAATGAATTACATAGACCTGCTAGGAAAAAATTTCCAAGGCGCCGCATTATCATCAAAGGTTTGGATGACTTATGGCAAATGGATCTAGCCGAAATGCGACCTTATGCCTCTGTAAATAAGGATCACAAGCTGATAATGGTCGTGATTGATTGTTTTTCCAAGTACCTATGGACTAGACCACTAAAATCAAAAACTGGTGCTGAAATCGCTCGTGCATTTGCTGATATTCTATCGCATGCCAACAACAGAATTCCCAAGAATTTGCAAACCGATCAAGGTACCGAATTCTACAACGAAAAGTTTCAAAGTCTGATGAAAAAGTTCTCCATCAACCATTATCATACGTACACCATAATGAAGGCAGCCATTGCTGAACGTGTTATACGAACATTGAAGGAAAAACTGTACAAATTCTTTAGTTTGAATGGCTCATACCGTTGGATAGATGTCCTGCCTGAAATCACGAAAAATTATAATAACACGAAACATACGACAATAAGATGCAAGCCCAGTGATGTCACCAAAGCCAACGAACAAGATATTTTAAAATCCACGTACAATCACATAAAAATTGTTGGAATTAGAAAATTCAACGTTGGTGACATTGTGAGAATCAGCAAAGCCAAACATGTTTTCGAAAAGAATTATACGCCAAATTGGACTACTGAACTATTTAAAATCGTAAAAGTTCGTATTACGAAACCTACTACATACATCTTGGAAGATTTGCATGGTACTCCGATCAAAGGTGCTTTTTATCCTGAAGAATTGCAAAAAACTATAAATCCTGACATCTATCTAGTGGAAAAAGTTTTAAGGAAGAGGGGTAAAAAGGTGTTTGTCAAATGGCTAGGATTCGATGATACACACAACAGCTGGATTGATTCCACCAACAAGTTATAATGTAATCATATGGAAAACTAGCACAAATTCAATGGATGTGAGGGGCCTTTCACGTCGATCGCTGACAAATAACAACCATTATCGGATGTTGTGACGTGTTGGCAGTGGTGGTATAAATAATGAGGACTGAAACTTTCAACACATCAGTTCGAGAACAATGAGTGAAGACTCTGGTTATTCATCTAGTGAAGTGCTTTCCGAAAACGGTAGTACTAGTTCATTGGCAATGATGGGTTATTATGGTGACGTTGATACATATTTGGACATGATTGAACAAGCAGCGAAAGCCGAATCACACCACCTGCTGAATACATCGTTCCAGTTGTCCACTTACACAATCCAGTGTGGACTCAGTCCAGCTAGACAATTTAGTCCGGCCATCATTCTGAAAAAGCCCTTCCATCCAGCGAAAATTTCGTTCTCCACATATGAATGGGCCACCTTCATCGATTTGCTGCATAAGGCACAACAAGACTTTTTTGAAGCACCCCTGCCCTGTTTCATTGATGAATATGATCCTGCCGTTACCACCTGCGGAGACTATATCACCATAACCAAATTCGTTTGCGATGGTGTCAAAATGTTGTCACTCACCAAATACCACGTCATATTCGATCTGATGGAGGAAGATGTTGCAGACATTTTGAGTGCAGAAATGTGCATTGTTTCACATCGAGTTAATTTAATCAATGACTTGGACTTTTTTATGTTTTATCAGAATATTATGAATGTAATAGCTGAATGGATAAAAAATAAACTGACTGTTTTGAGTGCACAAGAGCTTATATTAGGGTTTTGTGATGTTTGCGATAGCATGTCTAGTAACGCTCTCAGAGAATATCTATATTACTGTAAAAATGATTTGATGGCTGATTTGAATAAAAACCTTTGAAATATGTGACTCGTTTTTTATTTATTTCATCAGTCTACAACTTGACGCGAAACTAGTAGCATCTGAAATATTTTAGCTCTGCTCGAAAAATCATGAAGTCTGAAATAGCTGTGCTATTGGAGTTTATAAAATCTCCCGCTTTGACTCTGACGAAATTCACTGAACAAGAATTGCAGTACATTCCAGTAGAATGTCTCATTGAATATGCAGATCCTTATGGGCTATTAAGGGTGTGGCACAAACTTCCTCAAGAATATCGCAGCAACTTTAACCTACAAATCAAACTGCCATGCTTCGTTCATTATAATCGTCCCGATTGGACCACACACTGGGATGGACCGCCATCTTCTCAAGAGGCATGTCATTTTTGTAGAAAAGGATTACTTAAATAAATAGATTATTTATCTTTGTTTTCGTATTCTTTCACCCCCATGGACCGCCCTGTATATATTTTTTTCAATCTTCATCAACTCAAACACCCTGTATATATTTCTTTCAACTCAAACACTTCTTCCATGCTAAAACATGGGACCGCGAACCGTGGGACACTCTGTATATATTTTTTTTCAATTTTCAATCAACTCAAACGCCCTGTATATGAAAATTCAATCTTGTTATTGTCATTAAAGTCACAGTTTGAGGAATGGGTATACGAGCGCGCGCTTATCATTCTAAGGGATCTCTCGCTTTGCTAGAACTTCGAACGCCATGAAGGTAACGGCATGACGTCACCCACTTTAAAATAAATAAATAATCCAAGTATTCGTTTCCAATACGAGCGCGCGCTTATCATTCTAAGGGATCTCTCGCTTCACTGGATCTTCGAACGCCATGAAGCGAGACAGCGTTGCCACACACAATAATGTAACAATATTAACATCCAAACACATACGTCCGACAACGTTGCAGCACCGCGCGCTCTCGAGTCGCCTTACTCTCTACCTCGATAGATCCGTTGCAAAGATAAGCGCGCGCGCCAGCGATGGATATTATTTTCAACTCGAAGTTTCTTATCTCTGGAATGCATCTCTCGCTTCACTGTACCTCGATAGATCCGTTGCAAAGATAAGCGCGCGCGCGCCTGCGATGGATATTATTTTCGACTCGAAGTTTCTTATCTTTGGAATGCATCTCTCGCTTCACTCTACCTCGATGGATCCGTTGCAAAGATAAGCGCGCGCCAGCTATGGATATCCCGTTTGAATAGCATTTAAATAATTGAAATATCACGGAGGTCGGAATACCGCAGTGCGTATATACGCTGCCTCATAATGCAAAGGTCCCTGGTTCAATTTCCCCCACCGGCGGTGACAGCTTTTTTTAATTTATTTATTTAAAAATTCATCATGATTAAGATGTCATAACCTCACAATTTCAAATTTACCGCCATCAGCGCCGCCGCCATCTGCAAATTTGAACTTCGCGCCACCAGCGACACCAGCGACACCAGCGCCAACGCTAACTAGCGGCATTTTATTGAGGCTCTGGCGATCAATCTGCTTTGTATTACTACTCACGTGTTCTCAAGTACTTAATGGTAAATGAATTAGATCATGCTCTCCTTCATGGGGTGATTGATTAATTAGGGGGAATTGAATGGAGTGCTCTGATTGGCTGTCTGATGCCGTGATGCCTGGTCCAGGATTTCTAATATATATCTACTGGACTCTGATTGAAGAGAATTCATTCTGCGCGGCAAAATATCGAATTGACTTCTTTTCCAGGGAGCCACCTAACAAAAATTCAGGGCTGAAAACCAAAATAAATCGGAAAATTTCAAGGTTCTTCGAGCACCACACTTCCAGAATAGGTATTTGGAAGCTGCAAACTCCGTTACATACTATTAGGACATAGCCCAGCAACATGCAGAAATTTAATGTGCGAATTTATGCGGACTAGGGTGCCCCAAGTCTGCGGCCTATAATAGGACTAATCATTTTCAAAATAGCAGAAATCAAAATATTATGGACCTAAATATCATACATACGTTTGCGGGATGCCAAGCAATACATGTCACAATGTCAGGAGTTGGAATAAATCCAATAGGAATCAAATAGTCATTAGCTTCATCGTCGACTTCCAAGGCGAACACGAATATGGTACTATCTTCACTACTGCTCACTAACACTTTTGCAGATGGATTGATCGACATACTAGTTATGGGTTTGTTGTGGGGCTTGATGATCTGGAATTGAATCGAACTGTGTATTAGTGAACGCAAATACAAATGGGATAAAAATAGAGAAAAAGTGCAGATACTAGAGCAAATACCCAGATAGCACACACTCGCCTTAGGCTATCCTCAATGTGTCGCCAAACGCCTGGAGAGGACGTTCTATTTTCTACAACCTAAGAACATCATCAGGCGTAAATTCAGCGCTGTAATTGTCCTAAATGAGTTCTTTCAGTGACAGCCTGAGGATGTAAAGAATTTCGTGCCTACGGACGTCTTCAGATGACATTCCATGAAATAACGTGTCATCGAAGACACAAGGAGGAAAAAGAAGAACTAGAATTGAGGTTATGTCTCATGATAGTCATGATTTGTTCAAGATACATCATAATATTAATGATTATATCAAAATTATTAGAGTATTCATTGAATACCTCCATCATGCATTCATCAAATTTCTTTTTCACAAAATGATTGCGAGAAGAACTTATTGCACAGAATTAAAAGATAACAATAACAAAAGGATGATAATCTCTGTTGATGACATTTTTCTCAGGTAGCAAGAAACAAAGGTGAGTAAATACTAAATAGAATCATTGATAGTACCGGACATGAAATATTGATACATTCATATACATTATTTATTGTTTCAGGAGGTTATTGAGAACACAAACTTGATGATATCATCATAGCAAACATGTTTTATTCCAAGATATCTTTGCTTCTTCAGAATCTATAAAATATTGTATGGAAGCTTGAACATTCAGTATGAATTCAATAAAGGTAGGTAGGTACCTGAATCAAATCATTGATATAGTAGGTACTGGACATGAAATGTTAATAGGTTGATTATTTGTTTCAGATGAAATGTTTCATTCCAAGATATTTTGGCTTCTTCGAAATCTATGTGAGATTGTATGCATGTTTGCACTTTCAGTATATTCAATGAAGGTAGGTACCTAAATCAAATCATTGATATAGTAGGTACTGGAACATGAAATATCAATAGGTACATTATTTGTTTCAGGAGGTTATTGATAACACAAAATGATGATATCATCAGAGCAGAGATATTTTATTCCAAGATATTTTGGCTTCTTCGGAAATTATGAAAGATTGTACATAATGCAGACTTGAACTTTCATGCAGTAGATTCAATAATGGTTGGTACCTTACTACATAAATTATATCATTGATAGTAAGTACTGGACATGAAATATTAATACATTGTTTGTTTCAGATAGTTTTGCTTCTTCAGAATCTATAAAATATTGCATGAAGGCTTCAACTTCCAGTTGATTCTGCATCAGGAATGTCCAGAGTTCAGAAATCGAAAACAACATGGAGAAATATAACTACCAATAGGCAATAACTTCTAGTAGTGCTCAACAAGAAGCTGAAATACATTTCTTCAAAAAGGAAATTGAAATTTTTCAGATTAAGTTATAAATAATAGAATGTAAGTTTTTCATTTGGTTTTTCATTTGAACCTATTATAAATATATATATAGAGGGAAATTTTGCAAATATCATGAGATCCATATTATTTTGAAGAAATTATCATTTGCATAATACAAGGTGAGTCAATAGTGTGTTATCCTTGTATATTAGCCAAGCCATCAGATAAATAGAGAAAATTCAAGTACAACAGTAATAGGATTTCATGAAAACTTTCACATAAAATTGTTTTCATATCTGTATAGGGTGTTTGAATTCCAAGATATATTATTGACTGATGATTGTTTTTTTTTCAAATGGGTCACCCTGTATACTATTGCATTTTTAGGTTCTCCCTGAAGAGCTGATTTCATCAATGTATCACACTTGGGGTCTAGCGGGAATGATTACAGAGATATAGGGTGTTCAAAAACAAGATTTTTCAATTTTAGGATTTTTTTTTGTGGAAGCTATTCAATATTGGTCAAAACGGCTCACATTTCCTTATGAACTTTTGATTTACTATCTAATGACATTCAATAGGAACAAATAGAGGGTGGTTCAACATTCAGAATACTGATCATCAGCTTATTGTATATGTTCCAAATAAATATCAGTAGAAAGCTAATCAAAAGTTAAGACAGGGTCATGTGAGCCGTTTTGACCATTAATGAATAGTTTCGACACAAAAAATCCTACATTTGAAGAATCTCGATTGTCAACACCCTATATCTCGGTAATAATTCCCACTAGACACCAAGTGTGATGCATTGATGAAATCAACTCTTCAGGGAAAACTCAAAAATGTAATAATATACAAGGTGTTCCATTGAAAAAAACCAATCATCAACCGATATCTTGGAATTCGAACACCCTATAGATATGAAAACAACTTTAGGTGATTGTTCTTATGAAACCTTATTACTGTTGTACTTGAATTTTCATTTTATATATCTGACGGTTTGGCTAATATCGGAGGAGAACACACTAGTGACTCATTCTGTATACGAATAATATTCTCTCATAAATCTTGAACCTCCTTGAAACATCATCAAAAACCGCCTCAAGTTGTTACTATAATGTCCTGAGGTTGTCTCAAATGATTTTATAGGGATGTTCTGAGACGTTATTAGTATGTAGAGAATAGTAACAGGAGGACGTCTTAAGAATGTCCTCTGGCTCGCTCTCGACGTCCTGAGGACATTATTGTGAACGCCTCAGAAGGGCCTCAAAAGGAATTTGTGCTATCTGGGTATACGCTTCGACACTGCTCTTCAATTTACTGACTCTGATATGAACTGATTGTTCACAATTTTGATAATCCCATTCGAATGAAAATCTGAATATATATCTACATGAATAAACGATGTCAAATATTTTCAGGACATAGCACTTGCGGTTCACCATGTATTCGGCTACATTCTCAAAATGCGCGTATTCTTTGGGGAAAAATTATGCTATGTCTGTATAGTGATTTTCAACCATTCAAGAATAATTATAACTATTTTGTGATATATATCGAGTGTGGAGTAGTATTTTCAAATGATGATTTCTATCTTTGAAATCGTCCTAATAGAATTCCGCAAATTTAATAGAATTCCGCAAATTTCCATCAGAGCAAGTATACATGATGACCTTTCGATCATATTTCACCAAGCTTCATCAAGCATAGCGGCGGTGAAGGTGATGGTGAGTCTGATCAATCTGCTGCACAGCACGGATGCGACTAGGGAACTGAAAAACATTTTTTTTCTGTAACAGGAAAAAAGTTTGGCATTTCGTCTCTGTTGGCAGGTTATAAAATGTCACTTTCCATAAATTACTTTTTTCCCGGATATATATCACATATATGCACTGTTGATAGCTTTTGTTGTGCTATGGTTCCAAAAAATGAGTCAATAATACCGTCTCCGAGAAAGAACTGCAAGTCCTTTCATCATCCATTGTTCCATTCGACATCGCGGTTACGTATATCACTAAACAACTATAAATTCGCAATTATTTGATATCAAATCAAAGAATTAGACTGACAGAAGTGACATCAGATATTTGATTACTTCAAAAAGAATGATGAAGATGCCTACAACGCAGGTGTCTCTACTGTTAAAAACTAAAAATTTCACGTGGATTTTGAAATGATGTAATATCTTCTCAATATTGATTCGTCCTTCATTTTGTCATAGAAAACAAATAGTGTATTATACAAGGGAAAAATATTAGATTTCAGCTCACGGTTTTTTGTCTCCCTCCGTTACGCGTCGGGAGACAACACAACCTGGAGCTAAAATCTACTACTTTTTTCCCTAGTATGATGAATAACTATTACTGGTGAGCCCGAAATAGTTTCAATACAGAAGCCATGTTTATATAGGAAAAAAAACGAAGGATTAGGAGACAGGGGCTACTGTCTTCTTCTGCCCCACATTCGAGGTGAGACAAGCAAAAGTATCTACACTGAGAAAATAAATGAAAATTTGTATAACTAAATGTGATGGAGATTTCGAATTAGTTTCATCAAACACAACACATATTCGTGATATCACTTATTTGAGTGATCGATACTTAGACAAACGTATTGCATACCACCTCCGAATATTAATGGTTCAAATTATTATTCATCTCTTCATCAAATAACATGTTCCATATCCAGTAATCAATAAATATCTCTTATGTAGTGGTATTTAGATTGTGTTGAATGTTACTCCCATGTTATTTTTATTTACCATTACGTATTAGTGCGTACGGTTATAATAATAGGTGTACTTTTTGTGATGTACAAATCTACCATAGCTTTTGTTGCGTTATAGTCCCGTGAATTATGGATGAAATAAATTTCTTTCGCCCATGGAGTTTTCGTTTGCAGTGCATGTGTATAGTGTGAATACCTACCTACATCACCTACAAACTGTAGTACTGTGAAGTGTGAACTGTACCTGATAGTGGTAACTCGAAGAGTTGTTACCGGTATTCAACAGTAAGTAAAATACCTATTCGTTTCATCTTGAAACTGAAATGGCAGGTGAACGTTGCACGCGTTATTGAGGATTACAAGAAAATCTCAATTTAGTTGCACACAAAAATCAAATTTACACAATAATTCGATTATTTTCTCATTCCTGACTTCATTCATATACTCACATAACTATCTTTACTACCTACCTTATTATCATAACATACCTGCAAATTATTGAGATTCTGTGATATTTTCCAGTTTTTTCTCCAAATGAGTATGTCCCTGATGGCGGTAGAAAAACATTGATTCAGAGTTTGAACAGACAAAAATCAACGAATCCATAAGTAGAAATCACTAGTTCGTAGTGGTTAATATGAATTGAATGGGTGGAGTATAAATTTATTGTTTGTAGTGGTGAATACGAACTGACGAGTATAGTATTATTCACTCATTTGTAGTTGTGTATAATAACCGTACAGGTAGGGTCCCTAATAACTGGTGATTCAGTATGTAATATTGCCTCAACCATACTATCTTAGTGGTTATATTTGATGAATGTAAGGACTGGCGCCTATTTAACCACAACGCTTGGTATGGTAAAGTGATCTTGAGGCATTTACAA